AGTGGATTAAAGACCTGAATAAGGCCAGACACTGTAAAACTCTTAGAGGAGACCATAGGCAGAACACTCTGTGACATAAATCACAGCAAGATCCTTTTTGACCCACCTCCTAGAGAAATGGAAATAAAAACAAAAATAAACAAATGGGACCTAATGAAACTTAAAGGCTTTTGTACAGGAAAGGAAACCATAAAAAAGACGAGAAGACAACCCTCAGAATGGGAGAAAATATTTGCAAATGAAGCAACTGACAGACGCTTAATCTCCAAAATTTACAAGCATCTCATGCAGCTCAATATCAAAACAACAAACAACTCGATACAAAAATGGGCAGAAGACCTAAATAAACATTTCTCCAAAGAAGCTATACAGATCGCTAACAAAGACCTGAAAGGATGCTCAACATCACTAATCATTAGAAAAATGCAAATGAAAACTACAGTGAGGTATCACCTCATACCAGTCAACACGGCCATCATCAAAATATCTACAAACAATGAATGCTGGAGAGGGTGTGGAGAAAAGGGAACCCTCTTGCACTGTTGGTGGGAATGTAAATTGATACAGCCACTATGGAGAACAGTATGGAGGGGCCTTAAAAAACAAAAAATATAACTACCTAGCAATCCCACTACTGGGCATATACCCTGAGAAAACCATAATTCAAAAGAGTCATGTACTGCAATGTTCACTGCAGCTGTATTTACAAGAGCCAGGACATGGAAGCAACCTAAGTGTCCATCAACAGATGAATGGATAAAGAAGATGTGGCACATATATACAATGGAATATTACTCAGCCATAAAAAGAAACGGAATTGAGTTATTTGGAGTGAGGTGAATGGATCTAGAGTCTGTCATACAGAGTGAAGTAAGTCAGAAAGAGAAAAACAAATACCGTATGCTAACACGTATGTATGGAATCTAAAAGAAAAAGAATGGTTCTGAAGAACCTAGGGGCAGGACAGGAATAAAGACGCAGATGTAGAGAATGGAGTTGCGGACACAAGGAGGGGGAAGTGTAAGTTGGGATGAAGTGAGAGAGTGGCATGGACATATATGTACTACCAAATGTAAAATCAATAGCTAGTGGGAAGCAGCTGCATAGCACAGGGAGCTCAGCTCGGTGCTTTGTGACCACGTAGAGGATTGGGATAAGGAGAGTGGGAGAAGGAGGGTGGGAGGGAGACGCAATAGGGAGGAGGTATGGGGATATATGTATATGTATGGCTGATTCACTTTGTTATAAAGCAGAAACTAACACACCATTGCAGAACAATTATACTCCAATAAAGATGTTAAAAAAATAAAAAAATTTTAAAGTAAAGATTTCAAAGTAAAAAAAAAAATCCAAAGATGAATACTATTTCATGATGCACAAAAATTATATGACATTCTAATTTTAGTGTTCATAAAGTTTTATTAGAATATTACAGTATTCAATTCTTACTTATTGTCTATGGCTGCTTTCATGTTACAACTCTGTAACTGAGTAGTTGTGACAAAAACTGCATGGCTTACAAAGCCTAAAATATTTACTATCTGACACTCTTTACAGAGAAAAGTTTACTGACCCTTGTTCTAGAAGAATTAGTTGTGGCAATGCAAAGAGCACTAGGTATGAGGACTAAATGCAGGTAGTCTGGGTAAAGAAAATAGATCAGTAGTAGACAAACTGGGAGGAAAGGTTTCTGCCTCAAATTTTTTCTACAGTTCTTTCTAATAGTCATCATTCTTCTGGTTAATATTAGGTCATGGAGCATTATCCCTGAGCAAATTTCAATCATTAATATTTCTCCATGGAACTTTCCATTTCAGCTTCCCCTCTCACTCTCTCCTACATCATTATTGTCTATACCACTTACCAATATATCTTTAATTATCTGCATACTTACACGCACATGACCTGTTCCTCAAATTAACTGTAAGCTCCTAGCGTTTGTTTTTTTTTTTAAAAAAAGGGAGACTACTTTACCCTCTTTTGTTTTGTTATATTTCTAAGACCTAGAATGAGATGCTTATCCATGATGCTTATGAATGTTGAAGGTGATAATAATCTCCTGGGCATTTTTTGCACTTTTTTCTCAGGGAAAAGAAAACAAATCCTACAAAAAATATATTTCCAATTCTAAGAATTCCAACAAGATAGACTTTGATGGAGCTGAACCTTTTAGATGAATAGCACAGTCTGGCAGTTTGGAAAGTACCCAATAGAACATGTGTTCTTTGGTTGAACAGTTGATGAAAAGAGACCTTTAGATCTCTCTTGATTTCCTTTCTTTGGGACTCCACCCGGTCGTCCAACACACACACACACACACACACACACACACACACACACACACACACACCCTTCAATCATTCCATCCTGCTGTATTCAAAATCAGAAAGAAAACTTCTTGACAGTGAAATAAAAGTAGAAGAGCTTTGAAATAAGCATGTGCTAAGAGGTAGAGCAAAAAGAAAACAAAATCCAAAAATACTTCAGGCCGATGTAGCTTGTGTCTCTGAATTTCACCCAGGATTCGGAGGAAAGAGTGAACTGCAGTTTTCATTTAATTCAATAAGACTCCCATTTGGTAGGGTTAACCTTTTCCCTCTTGTGTCTTCATTGTGACTTAGTTGATACAAATTGCTTTCATTAGGGCATTAATGGGCTTCTGGCTGTGGTCTCAAATGGAACCTGTTGCAGTGGTTCAGTATACAAGTAGTCAGGATGCTGTTAACTGTGGTTTAACATTAGGAAGCAGGCTTATAAATGATTGTTGAAAGGTTCTATCTGAATGGAAATTTTGGAACCTTAAGAGATCTAAACAGAATCACAGATTACACACCTTTCTGGACTAAGATGAAATCACTGACGACATTCGCAAACCTTATTCAGTGACATCATCTGTATATTTTATGAAGGAAGCCTTGGTATATTTGACGCTAATACATTTCTCTAATGTGACCAACTAAGAGTCAAGTTGGAAGAAAGGGAAACAAAGTGTGTAACATGGGCTGAAGGATTTGCCAAACAGAATGCAACGGAATGCCAAAGGCTCTGAGACAGACTTTAAGGAATGATAGGACGGGAAAAACAAACTGGCAATTTTTCAGAAAGAATAATAAAGATTAAACCATCGGACTTCCCTGGTGGTGCAGTGGTTAAGAATCCGCCTGCCGATGCAGGGGACACGGGTTCGAGCCCTGGTCCGAGAAGATTCCACATGCTGCGGAGCGGCTGGGCCCGTGCACCACAACTACTGAGCCTGTGCTCTAGAGCCTACGATCCACAACTACAGAGCCCGTGTGCCTAGAGCCTGTGCTCCGCAACAAGAAAAGCCACTGCATTGAGAAGCCCGCGCACCGCAACAAAGAGTAGACCCCGCTCCCCGCAACTAGAGAAAGCCCGTGCACAGCAATGAAGACCCAATGCAGCCAAAAATAAATAAATAAACACAGAGGACAATATATATCCAAGATGTTTGGTACTTTGCTACTAAGTTTGGAACTCAAATGTGAGGAAATATTTCTTCAGTAATTTCAGTAATCCCATTCAAACCACAAAATAGAACAATGGACCCATTGAGCATCCTCCATCTCCATAATAACTGAATATCCCTCATTGTTTGAACCGTGTCTAGGCTGTAAATTGCAATAATGAAGCTGAGAACATGGAATGTAGTAGGCGCTTGGTAAATATCTTTCGAACGAATGTATGGGTGAACTACTAGCTAAATAACAGGAGGTCTGGGTGTATGGCTGCACAAATCCCGCCAGCGCAGATAAAACAAAGCATAAAGGAGTTTGTATGTATCATATAAAGGCAAACATTTTAAAGACTAGGTCCAAAGCAGATTTGCTTATAGAATGCTATGTGGGAGAGTTCTTGGTGAACATATTTCTAATTGTGATAAAAATAGCAGCAGCACATTAAACACATTTGTTTATTTATTATCCAGCAGACATTACCAAATTAGTGTCTGTTCTTGTCGTTACTGTTTGATAGATCCTGTTTATTAAAGAATCGATGATTTCATCCTTGGAGAGAGAGGGATTTGTGATATTGCTATGGAATCTTTCTGCTATTCATTTGGGTAACATTTTGATCTTCTCTGGAATAGTACACATTGATCATGGCATGAAAATATTTTTTTGTCATCTTGTGTGAATAGTACCTAGAATTTGGAAAATATGCTATTCCACATGAAAGTTGAGGAACTTGCTTGAGGGCACATAGAAAATTAGGGACGGGACAGAATTATGTGTCCCAAGATTTAATCTGACCCTAAATTCTTTTGCTCAGAATAATGCTCTGTATTAATCCTTTAATTTCTAGGAACACATGCCCTTCTAACCAAAAAGCCGCCTTTCTGAAATTTCCTTTTGTAAGCTCCAATAACTATTTTGTTTCCACTACTCCTTGAAAACAATGTTTTTGTTTCAAGTGTCACAAAATCAAATGTCTACAGGGGCCAGGCAGGTAAAATACACAAATGAAGTGATGAGACAAGTGGTAAGTGACAATGAGCCCCAGTTTCTGGGGGATGTAGATGATGGGACTGCGAGAAACTGGAGATAAAAGCCCAATGTTGAAGATCCAACTTTCTGAGAGAGGGCAGAAATTCACATTTGTGTATAAGGCTTTTAAATTTCATTGTGTTTATTTTGGTAACTAATTAAAATGTAAAACACTGTCCAGGCCAAAACCACAGGCCAAACTAAGCATGTCTATGGGCTGCATCTAGTGAGAGGGACAGCTCACTTCCTTTTTATACTGCCAGATTGAGCTGCTGGGGGTATTTCGCTCTGTTTAGATTGGCTTTTAATTTATCATCAATCAATCACATTGAAGAAAGTACAGGAATGTCTTCAGTAATGCCAACATAGATGGAATTGTACAGCCTCCCAGGACGGCTACTCAGCAGGACAACACATTTGAAGTTGAGAGGTAGTGTTGTCTGCTAGTTAAGTACATAAACTCTCTTGCCAGGTTGCCTGGGATCTTTCACTTACCAGCCACGTAACCTTGGGCAACAGATGTAATTTCTTCCTGGCTCAGTTTCTCATCTGTAAGATGAAGATAATGACAGTTATCATGACAGTTACATGAATACACACACATACACACACGATACTTAAAATCTAAGTTAGTGCTATCTAATTATTTGCTATTACTTATTAATCACAAATCATAGTATTGTTGAAGAGTAACAAACGTTTACATGTTTATGTCACATTAGACAGCCACTGACTCCACAAGTGGCCTCAGAAAACTTTCTTCCTCAGACAGAACAGGTGCAAGAATCAGGCTGCTATGGTATAAATTCCCACTATTTTGTCTTTAACACCAAACGCCATCACTTCTTGGAAATGTCATAACTGCATATTTCAATGAGAGGAATATATAAACAAATTTTCAAAACACTAAAAATACTAGCAGTTAATAATATGTTAAGCTATCTTTTCATTTTTCCCTTCTTTGGAGATGATCCATTTTAAAGTCAGGGATATTCTGTTCCAGAGTTGAAAAGCAGAAAAATTAAAGGAACTTTATTTTCCTCTTTTATAGGTTTTTGAAGCATGAAACTTATTGACAGATGCTTGAGGTAGATATAAGTTACCATGCTATTTCATCCAAGACTGTTTTCACATTCTGGAGGTTTTAATTTTTTTAAAGGGTACCCCCAATTTTTTTGAATGTCTAGAAATAGAGAAAACAGAAGGTCACATGTCATCTTATCTATGTTACTGAAATAATCATATGTTTGTGATAGTAAATGATGACACAAAATTCATTTTCTGTGGCACAAGCATATTTACCCACCAATGAAAATTCAAGATATACTGCCCATTAAAGATTCCATAACTTTGTTTTTTATTTCCTGTACTCCTATAAATAAATTTAAATTGTCAGGCCCATGTTCTTTCATTCTACCAAATCCTTTCTTCCCAAGGCAGGAGAAGAGAATGGTGAACTCTCAAAAATAATGCTGGTTGAATTTATTAAGGTTGAGAACATCTCCTTCCACTCTGATCTCATCAAGTGCTGCTAGACAGTGGCCTTATGCTTATGTGAAACCCAACCCAGGAGCCAAGAAAAGCAGAAGTGTAGAAGCACTGACTCACATAAGATGGGAAGGCACATTAGAAATAACAGACTCCACACACCACCTCACTCTCCATTTAACAATGAAGTACCAATGCCCAAAGCGGGATGTGATTTACAAATGTACACCTGGATATCCAGGGGCCAGAAGCCAAACCCAATATTGCCAATTGATTAAAATATCTTTTCTATCCTGAACTGTGTCTACAAGCTTCTAGAAGTGTATTAAAATTGGAGATGCATAACTTACAACATTAACTGGTTTTCCTCTCATAACTATTTCAAAATGCTCAGTTCTTCTCAACTATGATGGGTGATGCACCAGCATACAAATCACCTGAGGTCTATGGAAACTACAGATTCCCAAGCTCATTCCAGACCTAATGGACGGGGAGGAGATTTAGAATTTGGCCAAATGCAGTTTCAGTATACAACTCAGGGGATTGTTATAAAAAATAAAGTTTGAGAACCACTGACGTCTAGGATCTGTGATGTACATTAATACAGGTGGAATTATTGGAATAGGGGAAAACATTCCTATTTAATTTACTCACAAATTGACAAACTTTAAAATCTCAAACTTGAGTGGTTAAACTGCTTTAAGGAATAGTTGCTTTATAAATTCTAAATGTGCTCTCGTGTATGTGTACTTAGTGATTTTTCATAGTCACTTTCTCATCTGGTTTTGAATCTCGGGGAATGACCCAAAATGACTCTTACTCAACAGTCAATGAAAGCATTTAGCACATATAAGGTTAAGGAGTTGTACTTTGCTGCACTTAAAACAGATGTGCAGCTAGAATTTCATCTTGTGTTTCTGAAAGGAGACTGTACGTGCAGGGTCAGGGCATCTCAAACCCAAACAATGGCATAGGAACTATCATCTGAAGATGATGCTTTTGTGGCACACTATTTCCTTGATTTATTCCTTAATGTAAAAGAACTACCATAATTAAAATGAAACATTAATATAGGTTAGAGTTTAAATTGTATATCAAATTTAGAAACATGTATGCATGTTTTAAAATGCATTAAACCAGGAAATGGCATTTCAAATATAGAAGATCCACAGACAAACATCTAGAATTTGAACTTAAATTTGGCTCTCTTCCTTGCCCTGCAGCCACTATTCCCTATCAGCATCATTCAGAATAAACCTGGCACTCTATGTACCATGTGGGTGAATTGAGGCTTTTTTTGAGATTCTATTTTAAGACCAAAAATATTTTTGTTTTAAGTTATTGGTAAATCCCCATGGATGCATGCTTAATATTTCATGACAAAGGAGCTATTTCTCCTTGTTTTCTGAAAATGAATATAATATTACATCATTTTTGTATTTTTATTGTGGTAAAATATCTCTGCTTATTACATTTCCAGTATGCATAATTCATTTTTATTATTGCCACATTAAACTGGAGCTGTTTTCTCGATGACAGCCATTCCTTTTAGACAACTAGAAACCCAGCACTCTTCTACCCATGATTTTACATCTTATAGGAAATGAATGTATTTAGAACAATAGTCAAAATTAATTTAACAATAGTCTAGAAAGATTAAGAAAGTTAAAATTATCCTTCTGAATTGTCACAAATTCATTGAAGATAATGAACATCTATAAAGTAGGGTGCATTATGCACCATTTTCATTACATTTTCCATGCATTTGTTTTACATTGCCATATAAAGCTAGAGCCATCTGTAATATTATCACACATTTTATTCACTATTATAGTAGGACATAGGTTGAGTTTCAAAGATTGCTTTCTGCAAATATTTGTGCAAAGATCTTAAATAAACTAGGTAGGCTGGATAAATGTTTCCCAAATTTGTACTAGATTGGTTCTATAATGACTCAGAAAAATATTAGTATGCTTATATCTAAAATTTTATTGGGAAATGAGGGGCAGAGAAATTCCATCTGATTGGCTGACACTTAGAAGAATTAAGACCAATAATCAACCACTTCCCAGGAGACAAATGCAAGGATCCAGATCCTTCCATATCTGGAGTGTTATATGAATGCAAATCTATGACGTGCTGTGAAACTCTACACCTGGGACCACATTTCTGCACCTGGTCAGCCTCACACTTCTTTTTTTTTTTAAATTATTTATTTATTATTTTTTTGGTTGTGTTGGGTCTTCGTTGCTGCATGCGGGCTTTCTCTAGTTGCAGCGAGCGGGGGCTACTCTTCATTGCCGTGCACAGGTTCCTCATTACCATGGCTTCTCTTGTTGCGGAGCACGGGCTCTAGGTGCATGGGGCTCAGTAGTTGTGGCACACGGGCTCAGTAGTTGTGGCTCGTGGGATCTAGAGCACAGGCTCAGTAGTTGTGGCGCACGGGCTTAGTTGCTCCGTGGCATGTGGGATCTTCCCGGACCAGGGCTCAAACCTATGTCCCCTGCATTGGCAGGCAGATTCTTAACCACTGCGCCACCAGGGAAGCTCTCAGCCTCACACTTCTAATCAGTAATCTCTCCAAAGTTCATTCTGGGTCAGCTAAATTCTTTACAATCCCATTAGCCTGTATAATTATGAAATCTCATTTTGCAGATGAGAAAACTAAGAGTCTGTGCCCTTAATAACTGTAGCATATAATTGGAAACATCTTTTTTTCTTTTCCTTTTTTGTAAATATTTTTGTTTCTTATCCTTTTACATTTGGTTGCAATTCCTTTTCTTTTACTAAAAATATTACCTAGGTGAATATACATAATACATGCTACCGTATTGCACATAAATAGTGTAATATGTCCTAGGTTCCAAATGTAGATATTTGTACCTTTCTGAAAATGGGAAGCATCCTTTTTTACGTAAATGAAACTAGTGACTAGTAGTGTAATATCTTTGGACTGAGAAGTCATTCCAGTCAATCCTAGCCAGTATTTTTCTATTGCAGAATATTAATAAGGCCTTGTTGTCTATAAACACTTAACATTTTCAAAGCGGACAACTGATTATTACAACTCCAAGGTAAGCAGGAAAGAAATTATGGTCTTTACTTTAGAGATGACATAACTGAAAGGAGGGGAACTCCAGTCAATCGACCTACCCAAGATTATATAGTTAAATAATGGCAGAGTTTTGTCTAGAACCTTGACCTTCTGATGACTCATTCAATGTTTTTGTAGTAGAATGTCTCTCAAATAACACTTAACTTTCTGATTATTCAGTCTTTATAGCTCACAACTTTTATGAATTTGATAATTTTTCAGAAATAAATAACTATATATGGAATACAAAATTGAGCTGAAAACAAAAAGATATGGAGATATAAAGCAAAGATGTAATAAATTCCAAGCATATCATAAACAATCATAAAAAATATTTTCTGGAACATTGGATTTGAATTCTCAAAAAATTTATTCTCCTCTCTGAATACCTACTTTCTCTGCTTATCCATTATCCCTGTTTTTCTACGTTCTGTCTGTAGTTTTGTGTCTATTTCCTTTTTCCTTTCTAAGGTCCTAAATTTTCATATTTTACAAGTCTAGCAGCCATATTAACCAGCCATAGTTTTGTCTCAATTCAAATTTTCAGTAGATATAACAAATATACTCAGCCCTGTCTTTGGGTATGTTTCAATCAAATATGATAAATAGGGTGAAGTGAAGACTCATATATAAATAAAACCACTGAAGCCCACCAAGTCAGGATAGAGGGCCAGGCAAACACCCAAAGCATGTCCACCGTTAATAAACACTTGTAGAACATTATCCTCATTGCCACAATAAAGGAAACACATGGTGTTATGGATGAACATGGAACACATGCTTAAACTAGACCAGAAAGCATCAAGGAAAGTTCCTAGAGGAGGTGATATATGAGGTGAGATTTGAAGGATGAATGGCTAATAAAAGTTCAGGAAAGACAATGAAGTAGTGTGTTTAAAGCAACGGAATCAACATGTACAAAAATAAGAGGTATCAAAGAGTTTGACATGTTAAGGGAACTGTAGGTATTGCAATATGAATAAAGCAGAAGGTTAGAAGGGGAGAATAACAAGAGATAAATCTGGAGAGTTCAATAGGGACCAGATTACAGAATGTTAACCAGGCTCACTTAGGGTTGCGATTTTACCCTAGAAACAATAATACTCCTTTAAGGAATTATAGGATCACCTTTTAAAGGAATAATAACCCTTTAAGGAATTTTAAGAATAGTTATGATATGGAAATTCTAATAATAATGTTAACAATAGCTAACTTGTTTTGAGTCCTGCTGTATCTCAGGAACCATGCTAAATGCTTGGCATCTAGCCAACATTAGTTCTCATAAAAACTCCAAAAGGTAGATACCGTGAGTATCCGTACTTTTCAGATGAGATCATTGAGCTAGTCAGTAATAAAACCATAGCCAAGAATAAATTTGAGGGGAGCAAGATTAGAGACAGATAAAACAGTTATTGGGTTGTTGCATCAATCCCAGCCTGAGATGACTGGGACTTCGTCTAAAGCAACAGACAAGAGCATGGAGAGGAAGGGTTGGAGAGGCAAGCGATAAAGGCGTCAGAACCAAGATGTTCAGATTCGATATGGGCGAAAGGGAAAGGAAGTAGCCAGGAGTAACTCCACGTGCAATGGAGAGGTCATCTGGGATGATAATAATGCCAGAAATGAGAAGTAAATTTGAAGAGAAATATGTTAGACTTGAGACATCTCTGAGATACAAAAGTAGAAATATCTAGTGAGCAGTTGAATATACAAGTAGGGGACTCAGGAGAGGCACCAAAAAAAAGGTAATTGCTCAAACAATTGTAAGGTATTTCTCACTCACATGAAATTCTAGAGCAGGTATTTCAGGCTGGTGGGTGGCTCTCCCTCATGCAATTATTCAGTGGCCCAGGCTGATAGTAGCTGTTCCAGGTTCAACATGTGGTTTCTCTAGTCTCTGTGTTTGGAGAAAAGAGTGGAAGTTTGAGGCCAGAGAAGTCCTCTTAAGCAAGTGAGGAGGAAGTTGCATATGTAACTTTTAATCATATTCCCCATGCTAGAACCACTATGTGTCCACACCTATTGCAATAGGGCTAGGAAACGTGATCCCTAGCTTAGTTGACACAAAGCAGTCAAAATTCTACAATTATGGAAGAAGCAATAGCTATAGAAGAGTAGCTGGAGAGTTTAGAGCCTTGGAAGTGAATTAGATTACCTAGGAAGAATGTTTAAATTGAGAGGAAAAGAAGGCCAAGAATGGGATGGACATATTAATAGTCTTTTTCAGTCTATGTGAGGGCCATCAGGGAGATTTCCTTGTCTTTTTGTAAATCTTGAGTCACATTTCTTACCTTGCCCCCTGCTTTTTTAGCATCTGATAACCTAACTCTTGATTATCTATTTCATAACATAAAGTACTATGGTAAGACATGACCCCATTTCCAGTTACAATGCCAGGTTTATCACCCTCACTGCCAAAATATACTGTAGTCTCAACCTTCTGCTTTATCTTCAGAGAAGGTCAGCTAAAGCCATAGAAAGCATTTTATAAAAATTTTGTATAACAGGTAATTTGTAGGACAATTAATATATTAGCTAAACGAGGTTTAAAGGGGTTTGAAGGAGATGAATGATGGTCAAACGCTCATAAGATAAAATTTCACAGGAATATATACAATACAGTTTCAAAAAACTAAGTTCATAAGAAAAGAGGTATCAGACCTTGCTTGACAACAGTTAACATAAAGACCTCAAGTTTTATTTGATCACAAGATCAATACGCAGGAACGCTGTGATACAGCTGCTAAAAATGTAAAGCAATTTAAGGCTTTATTAGTAGGTTTGGCACACACAACAAAAGATGTTGGTACACAAAACGTTTTACACTGAACAGTTGGGAGCGCCATGCTAGCATTTACAATGTATAGTCACCTTGAATTCTTCCTCTCCCTTTTGCTTACACTCAATTAATATCAGGTCCCATCTATTCTAGTTTTTAGATATTTTGTGACCCTTGTAATATTGAATTGGAATTGGAGATGTGAGTATGAACTCATTTATATATATACACATACATTCATACCCATAATATGTATACCATATAATTTTACAGAAAGAGGTATAAACACATGTATCAGTGTGTGTGTACATTTCTTAGATCTGTCAAATGGATGGGCCTATAAGTAAAGACACCACAAGAGCAATGATCACATCTAACACCCAGATTTTTGTCTCTAAATACCATTTTCCACTAAAAGGAACTAGGGCTCCTGAGAGAAATGAGCCCAGGGTGGGGCAGGGAAACATAAAATGAGTCTGGAACTTTCTGTTGTACCAGAAAGTAAGAAAGTGCTAAGATAGGGACATGTCAAAAAAGACAGGGGATCCAGCTTAATGAATACTAAAGAGAGTGGATGAAAGTTTGATGAGCAAGAAGATATTTACACAGTTTCAGCATAATCACCACAGGTTACTTACTAATTACAAAGAGAAAAAATAATAACTTTATAGTAAGTTAACCTAACAAACACAAATTTATTAAAGTTATCAAGGCTAATGTTACTCATAACAAGACAAAACCATATGACATGCTTCCTGATATGATACCCTGAGAAGGACACAACATCACTTCTATGCTGTTACACTCAAAAATACAAAACCTGAAGCTAATTGTAAGGAAACATCAAAGAAACCCAAACTGAAGGATATTCTGCAAAGTTATTGGCTTTACTTTTCAAAAACATTAAGATCATGAAAGAAAAAGAAAGGCTGAGGAACTGTTTTGGATGAAAGGAAATGAAAGAAACATGACAACACAACGTGTGATCCTGGATTGTAACCTGGACAAGAAAAAAAAAACTATATATTATTCAAACAAGTTGTGAACTTTGAACAAAAACTATGAATTAGATATAACATTGTACGAATGTTACACTTCCTGACTTTGATAGAGGTACTTTGGTTATGTAAGAGACAGTCCTTAGGAAACACATATTAAAGTATTTGTGCATAAAAAGAAGATATAGAGAGAGGGAAAGAACAAATGCTAAAGTAAATGGGGCAAAATGTTCAGAATTGTTGAATCTGGGTAGAGGATATAATAGAGTTCTTTGTAATAGATTTTGTAACTTTTATATAAGTAAGGAATTATCTCAAAATTAGAAGCTAAAAAGATAAACTTCTGAATCTGACCCAAAAAATTAGCAATAGGTCATTTCCCGAATCTGGTAAATACTTCCAATGCAATCTAGGAGGTTCAATCTGCTATATACAAAGAAAAAAATGGAAAAGTGTATAAAGTCTTTGGTTTACATTACCCCTGTTTTTCAATATGTCTTATTAAAACATAACCTGTACCCGGGAAATCATATCGTCATTCAGCAATCATCAGGTAGTCAGCTTTCAACAACGGAATTTCAAAAACTAAGAAAAATATAAAACTAGATCTAAAAGACTATGTTTTAGGATACTAAGTGTGACCTCAAATAATCTAAAAATATGCCACAGGTGTCACATTTGGGCATTTTCATCCTTAGGATATATCTGCCAGAGCTAACATTGAATGCTAAAAAGAGAATTCTTAGCAGAGTGCTCTAGCCTCAGAGTTATAATTCAACTTCACTAGTCACTAGATGAATTTTAAGATACCACTTATATATTTGGTATATTTGTATTCCTAACAGGAACCTTATAAATAAAATACTATTACCCCAGTTTTACAAATAAACTAAAGCAAAGAGATGTTGAGTAATTTTCCGAAGTTCACACAGCCTGTAAGAACGTGAGCTGAGACTCGAGCCCCATAGCGCCACCAAAGAGAGTGCCTTTTCTCCTTTCTCGTTCTACTGCTATGTGACTGACATAAAGACTCTAACACACATATTCTAAGAGAGACTTTGCTCAGGTGTGGTAAGTAGAAGAAATTCTATATAGAGTCAGTGTAGCTATCCTCTCACCGAGGAGTGTCCAAAAATGTTATTCATACTGGCAAAAATACATATGAAAAAACCTAAATGTCCAATAATAGAAATTGGTCAAATGAATCGCGGTAGATAACATTTTCAGAGAACGCTAATGATCATAAGAAAACAAATGCCATAAAATGATCATTAAAAAAGAGAAGAATACAAAACTATTTAGACAGTATGATTCACGTATATATACCTATAGAATAGATTTAGTATATATATGTGTGTATATACACATATATAGGAAAAAGCCTAGAAGGAAAGAAATGTTTATCACTGAGTATTGCAGGTTACTTAGGTTTACATTTGTATACCTTATCTTTATTTTCAAAGCTTTCGAATAGTAGTCTCCATTATTTCTATAATTTAAAAAAGCCAATCAACAGCACTAAAAAGATTCGATGTAGCTTTTGAAAAGATAAGAAGAAAAATAATAGACAAGTAAACCTAAGAAAGCTGGGAGACTGGGTCTACATTCATCAAATAGGCCAGGAAGTGAAACGAGAGAGTCCCAACCAATTGTAGGCTCTGTAAGGAAGAGATCTGGTGAGTCACTGACCAAAAGGGCTAGTAAACAGTATGGGAGAATTGTCAGTCTCACAAATACCCTCACATAGGTTTCCAATGACGACCCTGGTGCCATCTTCTAAGTAAGGGATAGCAAAAAAGAGTCAAGAGACGTGTAGTGTATCTAGTGTTTATAAAAACATTCAGAGAACAAAATCAAAAGTAATAAGTCTTTGAATTCAGAAATTAAAAAGAAATGAAAATAGAGCACTGAAACTATTCTGTACAATACTGTAATGATGGATACGTGGCATTTTGCATTTGTCAAAACCCATGGAATGTACAACATCAAGAGTTAACCTTTAATGTAAATTATGGACTCCGGGGCATAATGATGTGTCAGTATAAGTTCATCAATTGTGACAAATGTACCACTCTCATGTTGATAATGGAAGAAGCTGTGCATGTGTGGAGACAGAGAATATATGGGAACGCTCTGTACTTTCCACTTAATTGTACTGTGAACCTAAAGCTAGTCTAAAAATAAATAAAGTTTCTTAAGTAAAAACTAAAATGAAAAAGAAATAAAAATGGAATTTTCTTATAAAATCTAACACAGTTCTCTAATCATTCCAACTTTAAGCTATGAAATCACTGAAGGAGATTTAATTGGATTGATTTAACTTGGATTGATTTAATCCAGTTGGATTTAATCGAACTTAAATGTTAATATCTGCCTCTATATTTTATGCCTACATTCCCTAAGAAGTAGAATTATTTTTTAGGTGAGTGTGCACATGTGTGGGCATGTATGTGGACTCATAGATGATAGAACTAGCTACTAGAGATAAAAACAATTAAAGGCAAGTTCTTGCCCTTTAAGAGAGTGGATAGTCTAGCAGAGAGGCAGACATGCAGTCAGGGCCACCTCTGCTGACATACATGCTGTGCACTGCATGTACTCCAGGGGGTCATCCACATAGCTGACTAGGAAATGACTGTTATAACTTGGAATTGCTTGGCGGTCCTATAAAAAGTTACAGAACAAAAAGAAGGGTGGGCCATGGGGGCCTACATGACTAGCCACCCAGTTTCTTGGGGGCAGTGATGGAGGCTTCATAGACCAGGTGATGTAGAACTTGAGACTAACAGGATGAAAAGATGGACTGCACGTTCCAAGCATGTGCAAAAGCAGAACTGGGGAAGAGAAGATAGTGTTCCATGCGCCTGTAAAGTAAAATGCAAGGTGAGTAGTGACAAAAGATATAATGGTGAATTAGGCAGGGACCAGAGGGTTAGGATATAGAAAGTGAAAATTTTATACTAAAGGCAGGGAGTGAAGAGACATGAGGAGATATGAACAAGGACATGACAAGATTCGATTTTCATTCTAGAAAAATAATCTTTGGGCAGCAAGGAGGTGTTCCACACTAAAGACAGGAAGCCAGTGAACTCAATACAGCAATAATCTAAGGGAAAATAA